TTAGGTGTCAAGGATGGTGAACCGAAACATCTAGGCTTCAAGATCCATGTGAATGCCCTATGTCGCTTGCTATGTCAGAATCTTCTCCTTTACTTCAATAGTGTAGATGCCCCACACCCTTTCATATATGAGAATTTCTGAAATCATTCTTCAGCTAATTCCCTTAAGAGTCACCGAAATTCCAAGGGAGAAAACCAAAGAGAATGCTTTCAAAAACCTTAGGAAAACCTAATTTCCTTCCCTTTGAAGTGTGCAATCCTTTGATTGCTTGAGCTTGGATGCTTCCCTCTTCTATTTCCGCGTGTGTTCTTCCTCCTAAAGGCTTCACCTATTTGAGTTATCTCCATTGAAGAAGGATCCGAGCCTATAAGTAGCTTAGGAGAAGCTTGTTCATCACTTCTTCTACTCACTTCTATCACAATTTAATTTACAAAAAAATTAATTTCACATAAATTAAATTATATAAGACATAACAAAATTAATTCCAAATCAAAACTACAACTAATCACTCTTCTATTCCTCAATATCAACATCAAAAAATTAAAATCATGCAAAATCATAACTATTCACTTTTCTATTTCTAAACACTTTAAAAATCTAAACTCCTAAAAATTTGAATCATCAACAACATCAACAAATTTTCCAAATAAGAAAATCTAAAACCTAAAAATATACATGCAAAAAAACAAAATATTATTATTATAAAAATTTACAAAAAAATACCTTTTACACTAATCTCCTTCTCCTTCTCCAAAACAAAACAAAAATTTGAATCATTAATATCATCAACAAATTTTCCTCATAAAAAAAATCTAAAACCTAAAACTATACATGGAAAAATCAAAATATTAATATTAAAATAAAAAACCAACTTACCTTCACCTTCTTCACCACTTTTTTCACACAACTCTTCTTCTCTTCTCTTCTATCACACTCAAATGTTTTCTTCTCTCCTTCTTTTCTCTTCTTTCTTTTTCTTCTTCACTTACGTCCTTCTCTTATCTTTCTTTTTTCTTCTCCTTCTTCTCTTCTTCATTTAATCACTCTGTCCAAACTTAAAGAGGGGGATGGGGGTGGGAGGACATCAGAAAACGTCATAGGGTTGACATTTTCTATTTAAACGTGCCCTATGGCTTTGATTGGATTTGAGGATGGAAAATGGAGAGTGGAAAAGGAGGGATTTGAAGAGAAAGTGAGTGGAAAATGAGGTTGATTGGATTAAGGGAAAGTGAGTGGAAAGTGTAGAGAAAGTTTGTGAAAGTTTGTGAATGAATTGATTGATGTGATAGATAAAAATAATTTTTTTAATTAATAGTTGTGAAAGATTACTATTTTGCCCTTAGGTTAAATTTTTTTATAATTATTATAATTAAAAGATAAATATATAAATTTTAACTAAAAAAATTATAAAAAATTAATTTAAAAATAAATTAATTTAAATATTTGCTTTAAATTTAATGATAGATAAAAAATAAAAATTTAAGAGATGAATATATAATTTACACTTTTACCCTTGGATTAAAAATGAGTATAATATTATTTATTGTAATTAATAATAATTACAATAAAATTATATTAATAGGGTTTATTTACTAAAAAAATAATAAATAATGATAAGAATAATAATAAATATTAGAAAAATAATAAGAATCATAATAAATAATAATGATACTAATTATAATAAATAATAATATTAATATTAATAAAAATAAAAACAATAATATTTATAATAATAAATAATAATAACAAAATATATTATGATAATTATATTTTGTAACATTATTTTATTAATGTTTATGAAAGTGTTATTATTTTAATTTTATAAACATGTATTACTTTATTTTTTTTATATTTC